GCTATGGTAGATTCTCCTGGGAAGGAACCACCAGTGCTCAGGGGACTTTCTTGGAACTGAGTCCTCTTCTGTGGAGGTTTTGGGGCTTCCATCTGAGCATACTAACTCTTTATACAACACTCCTCTCCACCCACACACACACAGAGCTGTCAACAACAGCAGAGTCACCAGCAGCTTCAGCACCACTGAAGCCAACAAAGAAAACAATGACTTAGAGAAACTCCTCCTCCTCTTCCTCTCCTCTGCGACATCATGAGTAACAAGGGGAGAGTCTCAGACATAAGATCTGCCCCCTACCCAGCCTAGTCCAGCCTACCCTGGGGAAAGAGAGTTTGAACCAAATATGAGATGGGAAACCAGACCAGATTGTTTTAATAAACACAAGTGATGACTTATGAGTTATGACATAGAATCAAATGGTAAGGGGACTGGGTCCCTAGAGGGAAAGGACAGTCAATAACAGGAACGTACAGCTGGTAGCAGCCATTTGCAAGATAAAACTGCTCCATGTTTCTGCCTCAACAAATTGAATGTCTTCAATCAAACTAGTTGAGTATCTGGGAAAGCCCCATGAACAAAGCAGGAAGGGGCAGAGTGAACTGAGAAGAGAACACACAGCTGGGAGAGGCACAGAAAGGAGACACATTTCCTTTGCCTGAGTCACCAGGAAAGTCTTGAGAGCAGCGGTGGAAACCAAGGTGGCGGCCAATGGCTGGGGAAGAGAAAGGGGGCCTTGCAGACTGAGGCAACTGGCTGCTCAGAAGCATGAGTTGGGCCAGAGCATGGCTTATCCTGTGAGCCATGAATAGCTTGACATAGTGGGACCAAAAGGCCAGGGTATGTGGGTATGGTGGACTGAAGAGGTGGGCTGGGGTTAACTGAGGAAGTACCTTCCATGGCAATTTGATCAAAATGGAAACATAAGGAACCATTAAAAATGTTAGTCAAGGGGACTGATGTGACCGGGTTTGCATGTTGGAAAGACTGCCCCGTGACAGTGTGGGATAGGCATTGAAAGAAGGGTTGAGGGCAGGAGCAGAATGGACACACTCAAAATATTTGAGGGTTTTATTTTTTGACTTTAAGTTCTGGGATGCATGTGCAGATCGTGCAGGTCACATAGGTATACATATGCCATGGTAGTTTGCTGCACCCGTCAACCTGTCATCCAGGTTTTAAGCCCTGCATGCATTAGGTATTTGCCCTAATGCTCTCCCTCCCCTTGCCCCTGACTCCCCGACAGGCCCCAATGTGTGATGTTCCCATCCCTGCGTCCGTGTGTTCTCATTGTTCTATTTGAGGGGTTTCTATAGCAGTTGGCAGTCAGGTGTCTGGGTATGTCTGTGAGGAGGTAAGAGGGAGAGAAGAGCAAGAAAGAGGAGGTCAGCATTAATTCCAAGAGTGAGACAACCAAGTAGATGTCTCTGCCTTCATCCAGCCCTTCAACAAGTATACATTTGCATTAATATAGAAGCATCATTTCTTCCCTCTCCCCTGAAGACCTTGCCTATGATTTACGGTGAGGAGGGCATTGATTAAAAACACCTGAAATAGTTCAGCTAATTATAACTTAATTGGGTTGTTAGTCTCTTCTGCAGTCTTTAGCTGCAACATCTCAGCCTGCTACCTTAGTGGCAACAAGATTAACAGCAGAGTTCTCCAGAGGGAGAAGAAAATTTTTCTTCAATTCTGGCAAATAGGCCAGGTGTGGTGACTCATGCCTGTAATCCCAGTACTTCTGGAAACTGAGGCAGGCAGATCACTTGGGGTCAGGAGTTCGAGACCAGCCTAGACAACATGGTAAAACCCTATCTCTACTAAAAATACAAAAATTAGCTGAGTGTGGTGGTGTGTGCCTGTACTCCCAGCTTCTGGGGAGGCTGAGGCATGAGAATCACCTGAATCCAGGAGGCAGAGGTTGCAATGAGCTGAGATTGTGCCACTACACTCCAGCCTGGGCAACAGAGTGAGATGCTGTCTCAAAAAAAAAAAAAAAAAATTCTGGCAAATAACTGAAAAAGGGTCACACACAGGCCATTTGTGGTAACATAGGCCAACCAACCATCTTGTTAAATAAATTTTGGGCCCTGAGTAGGTCTGTGACCATTGGGGTGGGACCTCAGGAAAAGCTACTCTGGAACTGGGACAGTAGGTGTCCCAGCTTCTGAGCACTTCCATTTGTGCGTGCGGAGCCCTGTGGCTGCTGCAAAAGAAATTCTGCCTGCCGTCATAGGTTCCATTATTGCTGGGCACAACTTGGACAGCTCTAGAGGATGCAGAAGGAAGAAACTAATGAACTGTTCTGGTATAGACCTGGGGAAGATGCTTCCTTGTTCTCTCTACAAAATAACATGTATTAAAATCAAATTTTTAGAAAATGTATTTCAAGACACCAACGCCAGACTAAAAGATTCTAATTGTACCTTCTTGCATGAATCCCTATGTCTAGACTAGATATTATCAGGACAATAGTCTCATATCTGAATAAACTTTTAGTGTGCTGGCTCTGAATAGGAGGATTTTTCAAGGACCTCAATTTTATTATGGTTTAGGTCAGGAGAGGGCAAATAAGCATGACATCATAGTAACCATCCAGGAGAGCTAAAAAGGAGGCCCTCTTGACAACAGGAAAATAACATACAGTGAATTAGAAACTTCATTAGACAGAATGTTCAGAGATCAGCCTGTTTTCCTTGATGGGATTTTCTGGGTAGCTGTGTGTAAACAGTTAACTTATATTAAACATCTTTCTTAAATATATTAATAATATAATTTTCATGCATAGTCTATTGGACATAATTTATTCTTCTTTCTTGAAGGAGTCTGCATTGCCTGGAACTGTCATTAAAATCACAGTTGTCATTGTATGGCCCCAAAGAAAAGCATTTCCTTGTATCTATACCTACCTCTATATGCTGGAAGTCTTGTCTATTTCACAATAATTTCCTGTTTCCTACAAAGTGATTTTTCTCATCTGCCTTTCATCTCTTCCTTCTCTTCCCTTTTCATGTGCCTTAATGTTTTGCTTGCTTGTTTTCTTTCCTTTTAATGGTTCTGTTGAAATATAATTGTGGACTTCAAAACCAGATTACCTTGGTTCAAATCCAGGCTCCAATACTTAATTAGCTGTGTGACTTTTCTATGCTCTGGGATTCTTGTCTGTAAAATGGAGAGAAAAATAGTATCTACCTTAGAGGATTACGGTGAGGATTATATGAATTTCATATAGAACAAACACTGCCAGGCTTTTTTTTTTTTTTTTTTTGGTGGAGACTCTAAACATAGGGTTCCCAAACCTGGTCAAATATCAGAATCACCTGGGGAGAAATTTTAAAGTCTACGTTCCTAGGTCCCCTGCCATAGATTCTGACTCAGTCAGTCTGGAGAGGGGCCTGTTGCAGCTGATTCACGGAGTAACATTTGGGAACCATTACTTAAAATGTGGGGGTCTCCTGTGGTGCTGTCCTTGTTTTTCCCTCCTATTCTCTTGCATTTTCCTCCATTTGTAAGTCTGGGGTTTTCTTTGCCTGCTAGTTATGGACCTCTGTATAACTACCCATTTTCTTACTTGCTAAACTGACCAACCATAGTATTTTGTTGATCTTGGGTTTCATATTATGCATTTGTGGTCACTCCTCATGGTATGATTGTGACTTCTACTCTTGGAAAAAAATTACCAGATACATGAAGGCTCCAATTAATCTAGATTTGCTGTGGTGAAAGATAGTACATTGTTGTAGCATTATACATGAGGGACTGAACCTAGCTTTAGGGATCAGCATATTGTAAGGTAGGAGAAGCTTCAGGGATTTGCTTATCTAACATAACTAACTGATATAAAAGAAAGGAGGGGGTTGTCTTCTGCCATATAATCATAGCAGATGTGCTAAAAGGCAGTCACTTACAGGGCTCTGAAAGGTCAGACTACTCTCCTGGTTGTTTGACCTATGGGCAGATTGATGGAAATAGATTATTTCTCTCTTTATCCATTCCCTGAGTCCAAAACCACCTTACGCTCTACCTCAGGAAATATTCTGAGGCAACAGAATGAGTGACAATCCAGGCACAAGGCTGAGAAGCAAAATTTAAGGTGCAGAGAGTTTGAGATTGGGGCACCAGTGGAAGAGGGAGAACAGAAGTGAGGTGTTTACAGAGGAGAGAAGTCTCTCGGTAAACTGGGAACTGGGCAACTGTGGGGACTGCATCCAGGGTGGAAAACTAAGACTGTGCCCAGTAAAGAGGGAGGAGGACAAATGGGCTCAAGGAGCTACTTTGGATTCTCTGTTGGAGGTAGATTTTCTGTGGAACATTTTATAGATGTCACAGGGGACATGATTGATGGAAAGATGCAACAGACACTGTACAGGAACATAAAGTTTTTTAGTCATAAAATAAGGGATAAAGAAAGTTCTGGGTTGGCCGGGCGCGGTGGCTCACGCCTGTAATCCCAGCACTTTGGGAGGCCGAGGCGGGCGGATCACGAGGTCTGGAGATCAAGACCATCCTGACTAACACAGTGAAACCCCGTCTCTACTAAAAACACCAAAAATTAGCTGGGCGCGGTGGCAGGCACCTGTAGTCCCAGCTACTCAGGAGGTTGAGGCAGGAGAATGGCGTGAACCTGGGAGGCGGACCTTGCAGTGAGCTGAGATTCCGCCACTGCATTCCAGCCTGGGTGACACAGCGAGACCCTGTGGAAGGAAGGAAGGAAGGAAGGAAGGAAGGGAGGAAGGGAGGAAGGGAGGAAGGGAGGAAGGGAGGAAGGAAGGAAGGAAGGAAGGAAGGAAGGAAGGAAGGAAGGAAGGAAGGAAAGGAAGGAAGGAAGGAAGGAAGGAAAAGTTCTGGGAGTAAAGGAGAAGATAAAGTGTCATGCTCCCAGACTGAGGTGCAGGCTTCCATATTCCCAGCTCCGACAATGACATCTAGCTATTGATGGAGCTGCCCAGGTGGAGCAGTGATTTCACTAGGCATGAGAAACTCACCTCTGCCCATTCTTACAGGTACTTTCATACCTTCTGGAGTCCTTCACAGTATCCTGGCTGCCAGATGCAAGTAACTGATTCAAAACTACAACACATTTCTAATGCTTATTGCAAGACAGTTAATCAAAGACCAACTCCCCAGGAGCATCCTACAACTCATTGAAGTTGCAAGACTGTTGGAGACCTACCCCAGAACGGTAATAACATGAAGATAGACATGGTTCTGCACATATTCCAGGACTCCATATTTATACTGAATGACTAAAAGTAAATCTGTTTAAAAAATTAAAAGTGTTATGGTACATCTTGCTCTTTTTCCATTTAAAAAAATTAAAGCATAATTTGCATATAGCAAGATTTACCCTTTTTAAAGTAGTTATGTGAGTTTGACAAACACACACAATCATGTAACCACTGCCACGATCAAGATATAGAACAGCTGCATCACCCCTAAAATTCTGTCATACCCCTTTGTAGTTAACTCCTCCAACCCCTGGCATCTGACAACCACTGATGTTTTTATCTTGTGAAAGGAAAATAAGTCTTGGGACACCAAAGTCACTAAGCCAAAGGGAAAAGTCAAGCTGGGAACTGTGTAGGGCAAAGCTACCTCACATTCTATTCCTAAAAAGATAGCTACTAAGATTAAAAAGCTACATACCTCCCTCACAAGGAATTTCCTTGAGGACAAAGGACAGACAGAACTCAAAGTCACCCCTCTGCTCATTTTGGAAAGGCTAATCAGAAACTCAAAAGAATGCAACCGTTTGTCTCTTAGCTACCTATGACCTGGAAGCCCCCTCCCTCTTTCGGGTTGTCCCACCTTTCCAGACTGAACCAATGTTCATCTTATATATATTGATTGATGTCTCCTGTCTCCCTAAAATGTATAAAACCAAGCTATGCCCCAACCACCTTGGGCACATGTGGTCAGGGCCTCCTCAGGCTGTGTCACAGGTGTGTTCTTAAGCAAAATAAACTTCCTAAATTGACTGAGACCTGTCTCGGATACTTGGGGTTCACAATCTGTATAGTTTTGCTTTTTCCAGAATGTCAAATATATGGAATCATTACAATAGGTGGCCTTTTGGACTTGAGTTATTTGACTTGGCACGCTGTAATGGAGATTCATCCACGGGGTGTACATGCCAGTGGGTCACTTATTGCTGAGTGTCTTGCATTTTTTTTTTTTTTTTTTTTTTTTTTTGGTGGAGACTCTAAACATAGGGTTCCCAAACCTGGTCAAATATCAGAATCACCTGGGGAGAAATTTTAAAGTC